GTAAAGTTTCAGTGCAATTCCTCATGCTGTTCCAAGTTAGAAGTTAGAAGTAAAATAAGCAGGTATCAGAGTCCAAACACAGAATATGGACACTAAAATTACATCATCAATTTCTATCACTAATGGAGCGCCGCTTGATCCAGTTTACCATGCACACCCATCTGGTATTAACACTCTCACTATTAAAATACTGGTTATGCTCAACACAATATTGAACTTCAGTACAGAAGATGTTATTATTCTGACTTACACAATGACTTTTACTCTGGATATAATTATTCTGACATCTCAACACTGTCTCATCGGCAACTGTTTACTTCCCTTTATACTATTTAATGTGAGTGCTTTTAATAGAGTAGGTTGCAGACACACAAAGTCTGCATTTTATTTATCCACTAGAAGTCTGCCACTTAATAATTTTGAGGCTTCACCCTCAAAAAGATCCTCTTCAAAGACAGTGTGTTCCTGATTTGAATAGCAGCTTTGTCTGCTATTTACCTTTAGTGTACAGTATATTCAAAAGGACACATTGCATGCATACGTTCTGCTCACTCTGAGTTCAACCCATCAAGGAGACAAGCACCATCTCTTTGCAATTATAATTGTCAGTTCATCTGAGTGGCTCATAACATGTCAGGATCCACTTCAAGAACATGATAAATAATTCTTTTAATATCCAGTCTGAAGATGAATGTACTCCTTTGAGCTTTTCATCACATTGCCTGCAAAAAGAAGACTTTCCTCCCAGCTCCCCGTGTATCCTGTCAGCTGAAACACACTGCATGAAGTGTGCTCTGTCTGAACTAACATATGGTTTCAGTCCTGCAAAGCCTATTTCCAGGTACTCTGTCTGTTGTATGCAGCCTTTCCATGCAGTGGCAAATAGCTCCTGGTACGTTAATTGTTCAAGCCTCTGCTACACCGCAACAGGTTTTTTCACAACAGAGATTTTAGCATTTAAAAGCAATGTTTTATTACTGAGTAAGTTGTTCAGTAGACTTGTCTAGTAATTTGTCTCTAAAAAGCTATTATTCACTGAAACGTAATGAGCAAAACAAAGCCATCAGCAGCACGTTCGTGCCGTGTTAGAAACTGTCTGCAGTTTTTAACAAGCAGAAAAGCCAGGCAAAGGGCAGGAATGGTGTGTCCAAAATCATAAGGGAGTTCTTCATCTGAATGAGGTATAGAAATGAGCCACTGCTCCCGAAGAAACAGGATCACCCTGGCCATAAGCAGCCCGCTCCAGCAGGATGCAGTGCTACAGGCACACTGCAGCCTGACGTCTATGAGTACTCAGCACAGCTCGGTCTGCACACAGCCACTTCATCTGGCCAATCACCTTCTAGACGTACAGCATCTCATTCTGCAGTTACACAGAAATCTCAGTAGTGACCCCACAAACTACCACTAAGCAGTTGCTCTAATGCTCTACTGCCTTGCTGCTGCTTTTTTTAATGTCACGAAGTCCTCTTGAAGAACCGATTTCCAGTTTCAAGCTCATTCTCCTCTTCAGATGATGTTTTTATAGACCAGGCAGAAAACCTTTGCACGGGGACTAATTCTGAATGTCTAAATCATTCCTTCCTGAATTTGCAGTCAATGCGTATTTTAGCTCAAAATTAATATACTTAGCATAATCTAAGCAGGTAAGAAGAATAAATATCACTCTCAAAGGAAAACTGCATATACATAAATATTTAAACAAATGATATCTGTAAATACATTTATCATATTTTCTCTAAGGGTAAGTCATCCTTTGTATATTTGAACTCAGTTATAAACGGTCCATCATTAGCAGACATTGAGCTGGGTGTGAGCATTTCACAACAGGAGGGGGATTCATGAGCAGGCATAAATTTCACCCCTTAACAAGGAGAATACGCAATTTAATTTGATCAACAATAATCAAATTTGTATAAATTTAGAAAATGTATTCCACAGAGGACAGAACTTCAGTAGGGGAGATATACATAAATAGGCAGTTTTACATCCAAGGGAAAGAAACACACCATGGATCTCATAACAGTGTAGGAATGGTGGGGTTAGGCAGTCAGAGATGCTTTCAAATCTGCTTGAAAGACACTCCAAGGGCCCAATCCTGCAGCTCCTGCTGAGGCCCTTAGTCTTTCAGTTTGAGGTTTGTTTTCCATGAGTTAGAAATGCAGGGTGGCCTGGGTTTACTTCAAATAGGGATAACGATTGTCACAATAGATCTTATGAGCAGAACCCAAGCTTCTGTTTTCGTTTTGCATGACTATGCTTAGAAACTTTTTCAAACAATGAGCAGCCATGAAAGAGCAGCCTGACTGCTTTATGGGGATGACACAGAGATCCCAGTTTAGGCACAACCCACACGTCAGAAGTTCTTTTTAAATAGGTTTTGTGCCTGAGATTGATCTGAGATTGATAATACCAGGAACTAAACTCCTTTATCAGCAACATATTAATAGCAATGCCAATTTCCATCCACTCTCCTGTCAGCACCCCTGACTGAGTTGGAGAGATGCCTCCCCTTGGAGGTAAATGGAGAGGAAATGTGATACATCCTCTGTCTGCTGGATGCCACCAAGAGGGAAATGTGATCCATGGGGACATGTCCCGCTCCAGCCAAACAACCTATCACCCATGGGCAGCTGGCTTTGGGTGAAAAATGTTTGGCTCTTCCTCTGTTGGCTTTAAAAACCACCCAGAGGTACTCTCTTTCCCCGTATCCTCTTAAGCCCAACAAAAAAAGAGTCAGAGCAAGCAAAACCACACTTCATCCTCAAAGTTTTCTCCTAATGGAGGTGAATAGTTATAGGAAGCAAAAGACACTTTCCAGGATCTCTAATTTGGAACAAAGAAACAAAGCATTCCAACAGATAACCCACAGCTGTTGCCACCCCATCAGAGCCCCAGGCACCATCCACTGCGTTCCCCTAGCTCCAGCCTTACTCTGCTCTGTGCCAGGATACACAGCAGAGCCCTCAGAGTAGCCGCTGAGCCCTGGAGGAGATGGGCACATGGGGAGGGCACCGTACAGAGCACCTGGACAACAGCCACCCACTGCTGTAAAGAAAGTAACTACCACAAGGGGTTAAAAAAAAAAAAAAAAATTAAAAAAAAAAAAAAAAAAAAAGTGCATCAGGCCAAAAATATTTGAGCAACCTGCGGTCACAGCTGCCCAACCTGCCCGATTTTCTGCCAGATTAGCTCAGTAGTAGCTGCGCCTCGGGAGACCCAAGAGCTCTCGAAAAGTTTGGTGGGTGAAGACGGGGTGAGGGCACGGGGGACCGGGAGGAGCCACCAGCAAAGGGAGAGTCGCCGCTGTCTTGCGGGCACCGTGGAGCTGGCGCAGGGGAAGCGCCGCGGAGCAGCAGCGCCTGTTGCCCAAATATCGGCGGCCCGGCCGAGCCTTCCCCAGCAGCCGCGGGGCCGAGATTTCGCATCCCTCCACTCAGAGCGGAGCGGCCGGAGAGGGATCTCTGACCCTTGCCTGCGGTCTGCTCCCAGGGATGCGGGCTGGAAGGGCTGCAGACCACCTCAACCCTGAACCCTTTCCCGGAGCATCGCCCCTCAGCTCCGCTCCGCGCTGCGCTCACAGCCCTGCAGGAGCCGCTTCTTCCTCTCCCCGGCTGCCCTGCCCCGGCCGCCCCAGGGGGAAGCTGCCTCCCCCCAACCCCCTAGGCTCGCTGCAGCGCCAAAGGGGAGAGGAGCCCTTGGGAGCTGAGCGCTGCGGCCGCTCCCCAGCACCCAGCGGGGCATTTCGGCCTCTTTGGTATTCTGAGAGGTGGCCGCTCGCTGCTGCAGAGCCGGGAGAGAATAGGAGAACTTGGGGAGGTGGGGGGGCCAATAAATCCGCCGAGACGCCCACCACAGCTCCGCAGCGGCACCGAGCAGGGCAAAGCGAAAGCCGGGAAGCGGAGAGGGGTGCGGGCTACCAGGGCTGCCGCTTGTTGGTGTTGGGGTGTCAGAGAGCCAACGAAAGCCTATGATCTACTACACTGCAGTGCCGGCGTCAGGAGCCTCCTGCTCGGGAGCTGCCGCTGCAGGGCAGCCGGCATACACCCGCACCACGCACACACGCGCAGCATCCCTCACCTCCCCCCGCCCGCAGGTGCTTGCGGACATCCCGCTGACCTGGGGGAGCAGGCAGGCGCCAGGGGGACCGGGGCCCGGGGGAGGCGGGTGGGAGGGCCGTATTTCCCTGAAAAGCCGCCGGCTCCCCCGCCCGCCGCATCCCGGCCGCCCCGAGCGGGAGGGAAAGATGCAACAGCAGCAGCGTGACCCACCGGGCCAAGCGGCCCGGGGCAGCCGCATTTGCATTTCTTATGTAATGCACCGCAAGTTTCCCCAGTCGGAGCCGGACCGGAGCGAAGCTCATGATGCCGGTTGCAGGCAGCCATGGGGCCGGGAGCAGAGCGGAGGGGTCAGCCCGGCAGCGGGTGACGGAGGGGGGGGGCACAGCGCCTCAGTCTCCGTCCAGGCAGCGGCCCAAGGAAAGTGACCCTTTCCTCACCGCCCCACTCTGGCCCGAGGTCCCAGGGGGGATTGCTAAGTTGGGGGGCCTGACTTCAGAGAGCTGTGGGAGGTGGGTGAGTGCGGAGTGGGGAACGCGCTGTAAATCGAGCACAAAGTGAGGTACATGGCCGGCTGGCAGCAGCATGCACGAGGCCGGGCCCCCTCCCAGACGGCAGCCCCGGGGATGGGCTCTGGGGACAGTGGGCAAAATGTACCGGCTGCCCCTCCGATATAAAAGTTTCGTCCTCAGAAATAGACCACGAAACTAGGAGATGCAGCCTGGCCTGGGGTCGCCTTTGGTCATAGATATCAATACATTTTCTCCGTGGTGACAGTGGCTGAAGCTAATCTGTACTGCTTCTTGCTTATTCATACACATACATGCATGTCCGAGCCGGCCTCACTCTATCCCCCCTTCTCGGTAGGATTGCAGATCTAGCTCGGCGAGCAACAGACAGGGCAGCATAAAGGAAAACAACGCGGTGCAATGCATTGCTTACCAGTTTGGTTCTTGTTTTTCTTAAGACTCTTGCCACAAAGACACTGCAGCATATGCGATCCTTTGCTGAAAATGTTCCAAAGAAACCACATTGATTTGGGCGAAAAGCAATCCAGCAGCTTATACACCCTGAGAAAGAAGAGATCCTTGCGGTTGCATAATAATAAATTGAGACCAGTTCTCCTGAAGAGGGGCACCAGTTTTATCATAGAAAAGGCGGTTATATTCCGATCTTCTCACAGTTTTTGTTGGTTTTTATTTTGTTGGTTTTTGTTGTTTTTTTTTTTGTTGTTGTTGTTGTTGGTTGTTCTTTTTTTTTTTTTCTTCACGTGGTATATTTCTTTGAGACTTTTCAATGGATTTTTTTTTTTTTTTTCAGCCGGGCTCAATGGTTATTCCCCTTAGATCAACATTGGATTATAACCAAAAGCGTGAAGAGACACACGCACAAAAAAAAAAAAAAAAAAAAAAAAAAAAAAAAAAAAAAAAAAAAAAAAGAGAGAAGAACAAAAAGAAAAAAACAAAAATCCCTTTTTCAGCGCGAAGCCAAACGAAAAGTAAGGTAGCGAAATCCCGGCCGAGGCCAAAACCTCATCGGAGACACCGGCAGAACGCGGCAGAAGGATCCCCAAAGAGACAACCATAGCCTGGCACTTGACTGCTAGGAGGATGGGTGGATCTGCAGAACAAAAGCCACGGCAGGATCCATCCTACTGAACGACTGCCATTGTGCAGCCCCGCGGCGGGAGAGAGCACCACCGCACCCGGCGAAGCCCGGCTCGAGGCGGAGAGACCGGCTGCCGGCCGCGGGGCGGACCCCGCCCGCAGCCCCCGCCGCTGCCCTGCAGTCCCCGCCGCCCCGCGACGCCTCCCGCCCTCGCCCGTGCGGGCCGCTCGCCTCCGGCCCCGGCTGCCGCTGCGCCCCGCTCCGCCGCGCAGGAGGCAACAATCCCCCGCTCCGCGTCGCCCGCCCGCCCGCCCGCCGCAGCCTCGGCGCCCAGTCGCCGGCGGGCGCCGGGGGAGGAGGAGCCGCGCTGCCCCGCCGGCCCGGCTCGCCGTCACGTACCCACGTGCGGCAATGCTCGGAGCGGATCGGCACCGCTCGGCTCGGCCGGCCCCGCAGGGAGAGCGGGCGGCTGCGGATCGCCACCCCCCCCTCCTGCAGCTCCCCCCCTTCCCCCCCCCCCCCCCCCCCGAGGGGGCCGACCCTTGGAGTCTCACCCTCCCCCAAAACAGACTTCTGTCCGTAAAGTGGTCTCAGTGGTAGGAACTGCCAACGCAGCCGTGGGCCACATAAATCAATCCCCAAACGGTGTTTCTGGACGCTGTCCCTGCTGGTGTCATGCTTGTACAGAGTTCTGGTCAGGCTTGAGTTTGCTCCAGTGGGAGCAAAAGCTGAAGAGCAGCCCTGCAGAAAGGGATCTGGGCATTCCAGCTGATGGCAGGATGAATCCCAACCAGCAAGTATGCACTGGCAACCAAAAGGGCCAACCCTGCCCTGGGGTACATCAAGCCCAGCACTGCTACCGAGAAGGGAAGAGGTTGTCCTGGTCTGCTTTGTGCTGTGTGACCTCACCTCCTGCATTGGGCACAGATTTGGAGCCACGGTATGAGAGGGACCTATAGCATCCAAAGGAGGGTTGTGATGATGGTGGAGGATCTGGAGAGCACAGTGTGTTGGGAGCAGATGAAGTCCCTTGATCTGCTCAGCGCAGAGCAGAGGAGCTGAGGGGAGGCCAGATGGCTGCTCCAGCTCCTCACAGGGAGCGGAGGGGCAGCTCTGAGCTCTGCTCCCTGAGACAGACAGGGCCTGAGGGAACGGCATGGAGCTGTCAGGGGAGGGGAGCTGGGGGTTAGGGAAAGGGTCTGCATCACAGAGCAGTGGCTGTGGAACCCTCCCCAGAGCTGTGGTCACAGCCCCATGTGCCAGAGTTCATGGAGTGTTTAGACACTGCTCTCAGACCTTGGGTTTGGATTTCAAGTGGTGGTGTGTGAAGCCAGCAGTAGGACGCAATGATCCTTGTGGGTTCCTTCCAACTCCGGATATTCTATGACTTTCTATGACTCTATGACCCTATGATTCTGTGGTATTTGCATGGTGGAGTCCTGGGCTACGACTGGGATTCCCAAGCACTGCAGCGCAAAAATAACCCCACAGAGTTCCCATTTCTGTGCAGGGCCACTTGCTGCAGTTCTAAACTTGGAGCTCCACCCTTGCACCAGGGCGGCACCTTCTGGGCTCACTGCACAGGCTCAGCCCTGCAGCAGGCGATGGTACCCACGCATGGCAGTTGTGGCACTGGAAAAGATGGAAGCTGATGCACATGTTCTCCCTCTCTGTGTGCTCTGCTGGACTGTGTGAGTACTGGCAGGTGCTGGAAGTGATGGGGCATAGATCATAAAGAAATGAGGGAAAAGATGAAGTAGAAGTAGAAAGGTGCTGCTGGGGAAAAAAATAAAAAAAAAAAAAAAAAAAAGGAAGGTGCAAGGAAAAATAGGTGAAAGAAGTGGGACAGTGAACAGTTCTCTCCTTTCCTGCCCTTCTCCTATTGCTGAAGTTGCCCTAATCCACAATGGATAGAAGATGATCCACATCTGGATCATCTTTACCTCTGTAGATGAAGGTCCAGTTGTTGACAATTAATTTTTTCCCAAATTGAAAAATACAAGTACTAGGAGACTATTTCCACCTATAACATTTTTAACAATATAGTTAAAAAAGTTTTCATTCATCTATGGTCAAAGTTCGATGTTTTCTCCTGAAGCACCTGCGTGATAGGATAGAGCCCACCCTCACCAAGTTTGCTCATGATACAAAACTGTGAGGAGTGGCTGACGCTGCAGAAGGCTGTGCTGCCATTCAACAGGACTTGGGAAGATTGGAGAGTTGGACAGAGATGAAGTTCAACAAGGGCAAGTGTAGAGTTCCTACACCTGGGACTACACCTGGGGAGGAATAACTGCATATATCAGTACAGGTTAGGGGCTGACCTGCTGAAGAGGAGCTTTGCATAGAAGGGCTTGATTGCCCTGATGGGCAACAGGTTGGCCATTAGCCAGCAGTGTGCCCTGGTGTCCAAGAAGGCCAATGGGATCTTGAGGTACATTAAAAAGGGAGTGGTCAGGAGCAGGTCAAGGGAGTTGATCCTCCCCCTCTTCTCTGCTCTGGTGAGGCCGCATTTGTAGTACTGAGTCCAGTTCTGGGCTTCTCTGTTCAAAAAAAAGTCAGAGATCTCCTGTAAAGAGTCCAGCAAAGGACGACAAAGATGATTACAGGGCCTGAAGCATCTTCCTTATGAGAAAAGGCAGAGAGACCCAGGGCAGTTCAGCCTTGAGAAGAGAAGACTGAGAGGGGATGTGATCAATGTTTATAAATATCCAAAGTGCAGGAGGCAATTGGATGAGGCCAGATTCTTTTCAGTGGGGTGTAGTTACAGGACAAGGAGCAATGGCCAAAACCTGGAATACAGGAAGATCCACACAAATAAATATAAGAATTTCTTTACTGTGAGGATGATAGAGAACTGGAACAGGTTGTCCAGAGTGGTTGTGGAGTTTCCTTCTTTGGGGATTTTCATAATCCCTCTGGATACCTACGTGTGCAATCTGCTGTAGGGTACCTGCTTTAGCAGAGGTGTTGAGCTCAATGATCTCTTGAAGTCTCTTCCAACCCCTGTAATTCTGTGATTTTGTGAAACTGTCATTGCTCCAGGAAGTATAAGACTTAAGTATGTAAAGACACAGGGGCTTCTGTATGTGTTTTTCCTCCCCCATGAAGGTATCTGGTCATCAGTGTTTGGAAATTCTGATTGTTAACATCAACAAAAGTGATGGGAGATGAAATTTTCCAGTAGTTATAATTTTAGTGAGATTCTGGATTTATGCATACTGCTTGATTGCCAAATCTCTATCTATGTAATACTTAAACATCATTATGCTGTTTTATGGAGATGAAGAATAGTGAACAGAAATAGAGATTTATATTGCAAGAAGTGGCCCATGGAGTTTGCAAACACCGTAAACCAAGCGTCCCTCCCTGTGTGCCAGTGTTGCACAGGCTGCTGGGAAGTCAAGCTGGCTTGGCCACCTTGCAGCCAGCTGGCTGGGAGTGTGCAACAGCCCTGGTGCTTTTCATGGGAGCTCATATGTCACTGCCCCCCTACAAACATAAAATTGATCTAGAGCCTTCTCAAAATATCAGAGATCCCCGTCTATCTTTCAATGACCACAAGAGCCAGTGTTATGTAGCTGGGAACAGTCTGTGATCTGTAGAAAACAATAAGTCATTGACAAGCCTTCCACCCCAGTAATCGCTTTATAACCCTCCTTCAGGCCAGAATGTAACTCCTATTTCTAAATGAAGGTAGAACTTCTCCTTAGCATCTCACTATCATTCAGATGTCAGCAGCTGTGACTCCAGAGCTGAAGGGGTCTGGTTCTAGAGATGATATGTTATTTAAGGTTTACTGTAGCTACAACAGAAGCAGAAACTCTGTGTCTCTCCTGAGGAAAACATCCTTCATCTTGTGTGCCTGGTAATTTAGTACCTGCAGGGAAGACCCTAAAACACAACAAGCCTGAAGTGGAATGCCTGAGCAGGACAGAAAATTTGTTCTGATTTCCTCTTTATGCAAAGTGAAAGTCACAGAAAGATCAGCCTCTTGAAAGAACAGTTGACCTAATATGAGAAAAAAAAAAGAGGGAGTCTTTTGTTCTCAGGTGAAATATGTGAAATATTCTTAAAAACTCTAAAACATGCTCAGACCTATTTCACCTAAGCATAAATTATCCTTTTCAACACTTTAATTAATTTATAAATGGCCTATCATTAACTGACACTGAACCGGGTGTAAGCATCACAGCAGGGAGATTCATGAGCAAAAAAAATTTAATACTTTACTGTGTACTATGCATAAGTGATCCAATAATAATGATAATGATAATGATGATTATGATGTTAAAATAATAATAATAATAATAGTAATAATAATAATAAAGGAGCAAGAAAAGAGATGGAAACATCGAAGTATTCCCTCTGGGATTCTTATCTGCCTTAAGGACCATAAAATAACAGACTTTGCACGAAAAGAGATCTATGCATAAAAGATGGTTGGACCTGAGGAAGAAAATATAATTTATGTAGTCCTTTCAAATCAAAAGAAGAGAAAATTAACTTGGGATATGTGCTCAGATCTTTTTCCAAGGATTT